GATAAAACCTTACAACATAAATAAATAGTGAGAACTGTCATTGGGAACTCTTCACCTTAGGACTAAACTACACATCACATTTTTTGGCGAGTTGGGTTGGGGTTCCCTAGACCCAACATGCTTTCCCTACAGTCACACAGCAGCTGCTGGAAAGGCATGTTTACACTTCATAGGAGCACAGTTCAGCTCTGAGGGGCAGAGAGGCTCTTGTCTTCCCCTTCACAGTGTCTGCCCAAGCCAAAACAGCTCCAAGAGGAAGTTATTTTCATAACTTTGGAGCTACTGAGCTCTCTGAATGGTCCACGTACTGTTCCAAAGTTATCCAAATAACTCCCTGCTGGGGCCATTTAGACTCTGTAAAATGCCATGGAAGGGAGGGTGACAGTCTCTGCTTCCCTCAAGGCACTGTTCCGAGCTGGTATAGGCTCCTCTGGACATTAAAAAAGCCTTCTCCCTAGATGCTGCCTGATTGCAGGGAAAGCAGGTTGGATACAGCAAACCCCAGCCTCCAAAAAATGGTAACATGTAGTTTAAACATTAGAGTTAGCAAAATCCCTCCAGTAAAACGATGGGAGGAGGTTAGTTCTTTTATCTGTATGGCTTTGTCCCACTTGCTGCTTGGGTACCATGATGCCCGATTTATTCAGAGACCGTGAAATTACCACACTTTTTATGACAAGCTGCATTTACAGTCATTTTCATACAGATAACCTCATCAAACGTAGTAAATGTTATTTGTGTTGCATATATTTATAAAAATTCCTGTTGCCAAACCAAAGAAGAATAACCAGTAGCTGCAGGTCATGGTCCAGTATGGTTAGCACAGTGTCTAAGATATTCAACTACAAAACAAAATTCCCGTATTCAAGTGTTGTCTGTATCAAGAACTCACTAGGTGGTCTTCACAAGCCATTCTTTTGTAAGGTCAGACTAGACAAAGACTCTAGGACGGGGGTGTCGAACTCATTTGTTATGAGGGCCAGATCTGATATAAATGAGACCTTGTTGGGCCGGGCCATGTGTGTCATAAAATATAATGCCAGGTAACAGAGATATAAACTTTATAAAGGACACAAACACAAAGATTTTTTTTAACTTAAAATAAAAGCATGCGTAAAACATTAGCACTCTTGCAATATTTTGTTTATTTAACAGTATCTGATAACTGACATCTCTTGCTCTGAATTATTGCATCATATGTCTGTGCTGTTGCATTCTTGAGTATGCTGTTTAAGTGTGTATCTGTAACCTGCAAACCTACTTTTTATTCATTGACGTTCACTACAGAAATCTCATGCTCAGAGTTCTGAGTCTAGGACTCAGGTTAAAACATGAAATGGCTGAATGATTAAGAGTGTCTGGCGAAGCAAGCTATGATGCAGCCACAGAACTGGAAGCAGGAGGTGACCAGTTCCACTGCAGGCCTGATGGAAGCCCTCCGAGGGCCTGATCCGGCCCCTGGGCCACATGTTTGACACCCCTGCCCTAGGAGATCCATCATTTTCCAGTGTTTTTGAAAAGGAAATTGCAGCTGTGTGCAGTGTACACTTGTGTTCCCTCCCAGGGCTAATAATAGCACAGGGGAGCAGTTTAGTTATGATATGTTATACCTCCCTTCCCCTCCCTGTACAACCCAACTGAAATTGAGACCACACACCACTGCAGTTTACTTTAAAAAAATCTGACCATGAATCCCCAGCATCTTGTCTAGCTTGACTCTCAGACACATCTGCAATAAGAGAATTGGTAACAGGATATTAAGTGCTTTGAACATTCTAAAGAGCATTAAATAAAAAGAAAATATTATTCCTGGAGCTGTTATAATGTTCTTTTAAAATATAATATTAAAAGTAGGTATAATTTTATTTTGCGTGTTTTTATCTGATACTATCAAACAAACAAAGTGACCCCACCATCCATGATTATTGCTAAAGTGTGATCGGATTTTGGGAGAATGGAACAGAAAATTGGAAACTGGTGGATAGAAAGATTAATGAGTAGATGAAGTCACAGCACCTAATATAATTTCTTTATAAAGCAGATGGTACTCTTCCAGCTCTAGGGCCCTGTATATTTACAATCACTATGATCACATGATATTGCACAAAATAGGCATTCACATCATGTGATTCCTTTTGTGGTGCAGGGAAATGAAGGTGCTCCTGGAAAACCTGGACCTCCTGGACCACCAGTAAGTAAACTATATGGCAAAATGTTTACTTAGAAATGTTCCACTGGTTTCAGTAGAACTGACTTCCTTGTAGATGCTCAAGTACCTGCCAGTTCAGCTCACATATTGGTTGCTGCTCATAAGATGGGATCCAATTTTTTAATTAAACAGTTCAGCTACTGATGAGCAGTTCAAGCCTATTGGGTTGTTGTTGTTGTTCCTCTCATTCAAATAGAACAGTGCAAACAATAGCTTTTATGCACGTATGTTCTCATACAGCACAATGGGAGTCCTAATTTCCCCTTTCTCACTGACGTTGCTGGATGCCACTCAACAACCACTTATTTAAAGACTGAGGAAAACAATCAGCCATTTATAAACAAATATCATGTGTTTTTTTTTAATCCAACGATTTGGAGTCCAACTAAGTCTGTGTTATTAATGTTATTTTGTACATGTGCATGTTCACACACTGTTATGGAAGTCAGTGTCCTTCCCCCCCCCCCAATGTCATTTAATTGTATAACCTAACCATCCATTACACTGTAGGAGAATTGTAAAAGCAGTTGCAAGACAGAAGGAAATGAAACTTCACCATCCTACCAGTTGGGTGGCCACAAACTGTTTGGCAGCTGCTCTTGCTCAAATCAGAATGAGATGACTTAGCCCTTCTAATGTGTTATTCTTTTCCTTCCCCCTTTTCAGGGTGCCCCATACAATGAAAGAAATGGCATGAGCAGCCTCTATAAACTGCAGGTATTTAACAGCTTGTAATCCAAATTCTATGGTAATGATTACTTTACATAAATTCATATGCAGTGTTTTCCTCATTGCAGGGGGGTGCCAATATTGCAGGTCCACCCGGAGCTCCTGTAAGTATTTCATCACTTTATTCTGTGGTATTGACCTGAATATACAGTAAATTGAATTTCAAAACATGTCCATACTTGACATACTTGAACTCTTTTCAGGCACATATGTACATCGATGAATGTGGTCTGACTCCTTGAATGGAGCTCACATTCACAAAACTGACCTCAGGAACCCAGTGTGGAGAAACTAACTGTCCTCTGCAGCTCCTTGACTGTAGGAATGCTGTCTTCAATTTTGTATTTAGTTACTTAATTTTTAGTCCTTTTCACTTTTTTATAGTCCTTTATTGCTGAAACTTGAAGCAAATCACAAAGTTTAGAACAATGCGATAGGAGCAGTATAAGTTGTATAAGGTTAGGTAAAGGTAAAGGTTCCCTTGCTCAAAAGCCAGTCGAGTCCGACTCTAGGGTTGCGGTGCTCATCTCCATTTCAAAGCCGAAGAGCCAGCACTGTCCGAAGACGTTTCCGTGGTCATGTGGCCAGCATAACTAAACACCAAGGCGCACGGAACACTGTTACCTTCCCACTGAAGTGGTACCTATTTATCTACTTGCAATTTCTTGCTTTCGAACTGCTAGGTTGGCAGGAGCTGGAACTAGAGATGGGAGCTCACTCCGTCATGCGGCACATTCGGGTCTCGAACTGCTGAACTACTGACCTTCCACAGCCTGCAGTTCAGCGTCTTAACCACTTGAGCCACTGCAGCTTACAAAGGTTACAAAGTTAAACACTGCAATAAAAACAGATATGACACATAAGAAATGCAGAAACACTGGCTGTAGCAAAAGTCATGCAATCTTCCCAGACCCAATGATCCTAAAAACACTAATTAAAGCAGTATATAAGTATTGTAATAAATGCACATATATGAAATCTATATAGATAAAAATGCAATCCATATGTGTTAAAAATAATAACTCCACACTAGGTTGAAGTTAGGATCTAAGACCCAAATTAGATTATGCATCCTCCACATGGCAGCTGTAGGGAGTGCAGTTCACAAGTGCTGAAGTGGCCCAGTTCAGCCATGGCACTGGGCAGGGGAGAGAAGGTGGAGCCTCATATGTCTGACGAGAATGAGAGAGGTTAAAAGTATAATCTAGTTTGGCCATATTATGGCTTGCTTTTCAAAGCAAGGGTATGATCCCTGGAACCATAACATTTATGAAAGTATGACACTTAAACAGAAATAGAATATGGTCCCCCTGCAAAGATCTTACATAGCCAACATTAAGGGAGAGCTATATTCTCAACATTTAAAACATCCTCATGTTCCCAATATTTCCAGTTTTGGAATGTCAGTTGCTCACAGTTTATGATGCTACATATGAGGTAAATGTGAGCAAACAGGTCAAATTAAGCCTTCATTGAATATTAGGCTATCCGATTGTTACAAATCATTATTCTGTATTGTTTCTTAACATATTTATTTTATATTATATTGTTCTTCTACATATTTAATGTTGATTGATTGAGTCAGGTTAGTACTGGAAGAAAGCTCCAGTTCATATTTTATTCCTGCCCAGTGGCTCATTATAGCAGCAACATCTTACTATTTTACTTCAAAATAATAGATGTGGTGTATATGGATTGTGGCCTTGTAGAGACTTTATGCAACTTGTAAAACATGGACATATGAAGCTGTGTTACCTAGTGCACTTACTTATCCTCCTTGATAATCTGGATGTTTATAACCTTCCTACAGATTTCTTTTTACAATAGTGCTCCTGAATTGATTTCTCTTTATAATTTTGTTTGCATTCTGTGCTAGACAAAAATCATCTGAGATACCTTTGTACAATGATACAGAATGCTGTTTTCATGCAACATTTGAGCATGGATTGATTGTATTTCAGAATTGTGCTGTCTTGTCCTTCTGTCTATTTCTATTGACTATTGCAGGTGATAGCTTTCTGATTTTATTTATATGTTTTGTAAAATCTGTTTCTTTCAGGGCCCAAAAGGTGACCCTGGAGCAGTGGTATGTAACTTATTAAGATGAAATATTATTAAAATGTCTCTCAAAAATGTGGTAGTTTGGAAAGGTGAGTCTTTGCCAAATATTTTTCAAACTGCCTCATTTCAGAGTAATTTCTTAATGCAGAAGAAAAAAAGTAGTACAGTAAAGCTCAGGTTCACTTACTTATAGAGAAGCAACGATATTACATTTAATGAACACTTAACTGAAGCTTGACTTACTTAGCTGCTTGAAAATATCCCTGATTATAATAAAAGGAGGGAAGACCCTCAAGGCAGAGAGGAAATCCCTTCTTCCTGCCCTTTGTCTGTATGGTTTTACATTTTATGGTATTTTGGGTTTAACTGTTTTAATTATGTGTTTTTCTTTGGTTCAAATGTTTTCTAAGATGTATTTTTATTATCAGTGGGGAGGGCAGGGTATAAGTTGAATAAATAAATAGGGTTTTTTTTAATCTGTTAGCCATCTTGTTAACTCACTCATAATAACTATGGCAACCAAAGTGAGCAAAGTGAACCATGGTTTGACACAAAGGCAGAAAAGCAGTGTATAAATTTTGTCACCTCTGGGCCACCTTCTTGCTGTCTTATTCTGCTGGCCACCTTTTTGCATGCCATTTTTTGTTCTTACAGCAATCCAAAAGACCATCTAAAATCTGGAAATTGGTTTTTGCGAAGTCTATACAAGTATAGATGTTCCAAGTAAAGTGGTGGCAGGTAAAGGTAAAGGTTTCCCTTTCTTAAAAGCTAGTCGAATCTGACTCTAGGGGGCGTTGCTCATCTCCATTGTTGTCCAAAGACTTCTCCATGATCATGTGGCCAGCATGACTAAACACCGAGGCACACGGAACGCTGTTACCCTCCCACCAAAGTGGTCTATGTATCTACTTGCAATTTCTTGCTTTTGAACTGCTAGGTTGGCAGGAGCTGGGGCCAGAGATGGGAGCTCACACTGTCACGCAGCACTAGGGTCTCGAACTGCTGAGCTACCGATCTTCTGGTCTGCAACCCAGCATCTTAACCTCTGAGCCACCGTGGCCCTAAAGTGGTGGCATTCGCCCCCAAATTAGTGCTTCTCAGTAAAGACAGTTTTCCAGCAAATGTAGGGTTTCCCTTAAATTTTCAGAATCCTGTATGGTAGTTGTTTAGGGCTTGTTGTGCAGACTTCCCTAGAAGGAGGAGGAGGAGGAGGAGGAGGAGGAGGAGGGGGTGAAGAAGAAGAAGAAGAAGAAGAAGAGATTGGATTTATAACCTGCCCTTCACTTGGAGTCTCAGAGCGGCTCACAAACTCCTTTCCCTTCCCCTCCCCACAACAACAGACACCCTGGGAGGTGGGCGGGGCTGAGAGAGCTCTGACGGAAACTGCTCTTTTTCAAGGACTGCTCGCCAAGAGCTTGTGACTGACCCAAGGTCACATCAGCAGGTGCAAGTGGAGGAGTGGGGAATCAAACCCGGTTCTCCCAGATTAGAGTCCGCATACTTAACCACTACACCAAACTGGCTCTCAATTGCCATTGAGGTGATCTCTTGCTTTTACATATAGTAATTAAAGAATTTTACTTTACATTGCTTCATTGAACTGTGCAGTAAAATGGAAAAGATGTACGGGGGACATGCTATGTAGCATATTCTGCCCAATAGTCTCACTTTGTGAGGCGAAGTATTATCTCTATTAATCTGTTCTATGCAAAGTTCATTCAAACTGCCTGTGAATATGTTTAAGTCTACATTATACAAGTTCTACAGATGTTCTAAAAGGATTTTGGAAGGACCTTACTCTCATTTCTCAGCAAGATGGTAGACTTGTGTTTGAGCTGTAACCACTACTGTCTGCAGAGGGGGCTTGTCAGAATGAATATTTCTCAATAGTAGTAGTAGTAGTAGTAGTAGTAGTAGTGGTAGTAGTAGTAGTAATAATTTAAAAAAACAACTCCTATGTATAGAAAACTAGCATATTAGGGAAAGGGCTACGTTACACCACTTTTCCCTGACATCTTACAAGGAAGGGATATTTGTTGTATCAAAGAACGTTCAATCATATGAGCCCCCCTCTACTGCCCAGATACAGATTTACAGTCTCAGTGAGAGCAATGCCTCTGTCATTGACTTATCAAGGAAAAACTGACCTTGATGAGGCAATACCCATCAAAGTGTTTTTTCATCCCTGACTAGGATTTTTAATCAAAACTGAAATGTTTATTCAGAAAATAAGCAGAGTCTAATTCTGGGAGCAATTTTTTATTCTCAAGTCATTAAAACACTCAATGGGGCAAACATTTTCATCTCCAAGTAAGCAGCATGCTTAGCAGCTTGTGAAATTCTTTCCGATTGAATGTTTAGCTTTATTTGTTGAGGGTGTAGAACTTTGAAGCAACAACTTTTGTTCTTTACAAGGGTGAACCAGGTCCAATGGGACTACCAGGACTGGAGGGACTTCCAGGAGAGAAGGTAGGATTTTAATAATAAACCTGAGCTGTCTTTTTACTACATGTATTACTCACTGGCCAAGATGATTCTTTAGCAAATCTACATCACATGCTGGTGCTGGCAAGAAAATATTTCGACAATGAAATGTTACAGCAGAGAGGAACAAAACTAGCTAGTAAACCGCTGTATAACCAAACCAACTATTTTTTGGGGGGTGGGATATGCCTGCATACCCAGCGGATCTGTGTGGCTTTCTTGTGGCAGCTGTCCCTGGAGTGCTTTCGCAAAGCTGTGTGAAGGGAGGAGATGAGGGCACATGAGCTGCCTCTTTGCTACTCTAGGAATCTGTTTCTCTGGCAGGAGAGCTAGCACTGCAGCTTCCCTTTGGCTACAGTCACACATGACTAAATATTCCACTTTCAGCACACTTTCCATCTTGATTTTACTGTGTGAACTGGCAAAATCCAGTTGGAAAGGGCATTGGAAGTGGATCAAAAGTGGATTATTTAGTGTGTGTAACCACAGCCATTAGCGGTTTTTTATGAATAGTAATTACAACCCATGAGTATGTTCAGTGTAAATGTGAATGAAAACATATTCTTAGGGTTAGATCCACAGAATGTTTCTGCAATCTGTGGACTGTATCTTTCTTACCTCTCTTTCCTCCTGCAGCCCAAAATATCCCTGAAATGCTGCTGTTGGGGGACCTGTTCAGAGTAGATGCTATTTTCTTCTTCCCCTCAGAGGCTCCATATAAGTATCACTCAATATTAACAAAAGTTAAAGTTCTGCATGCTACCACAAAGCCTTTCTGACTCAGGTGAAGTGTTGCCAGCAAAAATGCAGCTTCTGCTAATAGGAGGCAAAGCAGAAAACTGATTCATTGTTCATGAGTTGGTAGAGATACCATTGGCTAGAGTGTCCAGAACAGTCATAGAGTGCAAGTGCCACTATTATGACAAACTGGGCTTCATAAATTTCCTGTACTTGTTCACAGGCTGTAGTCAAGATACAAGCAGTGTTATGCACTATGGCATTTATTTATATTTTATTACCTTTCCTTTGCGGCTCAAAGTGGCTTACCGTTCCAAGATTAAAAACACACAAAATGCAATAAAATCCCATTAACCCCATCCCCAAGAAAATGCCTGCAGTTTAAACCCCATGAAAAGCTCTCACAAATAAAATGGCCTTACAGCACCTTCTAAAACCTTCTACAGATAGTGCCCCTTTCATCTCCCCAGGCAATCTGTGAGAGTCACTATAAAGAAGGAATGGGGTTTAGCAGCTGCCAAGCAGGCCACCCTTCTTTCGCCATAATCCTTAAGCAGGGGAACAACTACAGCAGGGATCTCCAGCCTTTCTGAGCTTGAGGACACCTTTTACATTCTTACACAGGATAGTAGGTGCAACCACAAAATGGCTGCCACGGAAGGCAGAGTCAACACAAAATGTCAGGAAATGCAGTTATGCATAATCCTGGTAACACTTAAACATTTCAGGCAGAAGCTCTGCTTAACATGATGAATTTTTAAATGAACATACTGTTTAAAAATATTTTCTTGCGTATGCACAGCTTCACACAGTGCTGTAGTGGCAGCTGCTGGTGAAAGCAATTTTTTAACATCTACTCAGCCAAAGATTTGCAAGGGCCAGAGAGAAGCCCTGTTGGGCAAAAGCTCCACCTTGCTCCGCCCGATTTCTAAAAATACTTGGCAGGCACTAGGAAGCATGTCCTCAGACACCTTGGGGCCCCCTGGACTAAAAGGTAATGATCAGAGATCACAGTTGGCTCACAAAGACATGTGGGAGTGATGGTCCTTCAGATAAGCAGATCTGCCAGATACATCTGTCAGAGCTTTAAAGGTGTAACCAGCACCTTGAATTGAATTTGGGAATAAACTGTTAATGTAGCTGTTTTAAAATAGGTGAGATGTGCATCCATCAGCTAGCCTTTGACAGTAGTCAGGCTGCCACACAGTCATAGTTTATGGGTTATCTTCAAGTGCAGCCCAATGCAGAGTGTGTTACAGTAGTCCAGCCACAAGGTTACAGAAGCATGGGTGAGAGTAACCTGGTTTCCTGCATCTAAGAAAGGATAGTGCTATCAAACCAAACACAGGTGATAGAAGGCACCTAATAGAGGCTCTGTTCACTTCTTGTTATGCTCATTAAGCTTTCTTGGCTCCCATGCTGTTAGGCTTACCAAATGCCGGCGGGGGATCTGCAGCTCTTTACAGGATCCCTGCCGTGGGGGACGGCGAAACGCGGTGCACCCGCCGTCGCCAGGATTTGACGCTACGCGTCGCACTGGCAACGGGACTCCAAACAGCCCCATTGACAGAGCGACGCGTAGCGTCACATCCTGGCGACGGCGGGGGCACCGCGTATCACCATCCCCTGCGGCAGGGATCCTGTAAAGAGCTGCAGATCCCCGCCGGCATTTGGTAAGCCTACATGCTGTGTCAAAGGCTCAATCAGTTCTTGACCTTGATAACAAGAAATATTGCAGTAGGGTGATATCTCCTTGTTTCTCTTTGATCTCTCAAAGGGAGATCGTGGCCCATCAGGTCCTCCAGGAATACCAGGAATACCCGTAAGTATGTCGGCTAAAGGCACTATTTCATATCAGGACAAATAATGTTAAGTATATACGGTAATACAATGCCCTGACCTGGATAATCCAGGCTAGCTCGATCTCTTCAGCTCTCAGAAGCTAAGCAGGGTCAGCCCTGGTCAGTATTTGAAAGGGAATATCCAAGGAATATCAGGGCCATGGCATGGAGACAGGCAATGGCAAAACAACTCTGACGTCTCTTGCCTTCAAAACCCTGCGGAGTTGCCAGAAGTCAGCTCTGAAGAGGGTCAAGCTGCAGGTAAATGAATATAAAAAGTATGCAAACATTTATTAGGGTGTACACATAAATAAAACATAAAAAAGGTTAAAAGGAGGAGACACCCAGTGATTGCTTGCAGTGATAGCAGCATGAGAGCAATAGTGTTTACTTGCAACCGGACTCTCAAGAAAGCATTTAAAATTGCTGTATACAAGTAAATAGGACAATAAGCTGGTATTTTGATTTGCCCATTTGTGGAGATAAATATAATGCTTTACTAAAGGAAATAAAGGGTTTTTTGTTTTGCTTTAATTACATTTTTGTTTAAGAAAGAGGCATACAGCCGTCAGGATAATGAAGTACTTTTTATGCAAATTAACTTTTTGCTATTAAATTGGAACAGCTCCCATGTAGTTCAGGAATTGCTTTTTAATTATAAATGCCTTTCATGAATTTAAAAACAAAACACACACACAACTGAGGCTATACAATTTTTCATTTACTTCATGTGAGGTGACTGAGGAACAAAAAGAATAAGCAGCTTAATTTTAGTAACTTCCCTAAAATAAATATATAATGTGAACAAAAAAGAGAGGGTAATTTGTCTAATTCATAAAGCTAGATTAATGGTTTCATGTTGTATTAATGTATAGTCAAGGTTTATCTACTGTCTAAGGCATTAAGGATCAGGAATGAAGCGGCTACTTGGGTTAATCATACACAGGTTTCCCTATGGGTACATCCAAGGCCTTGCTCCACATTTAAAGTATCATTAAGCATTTTGATTGGATAAGAACTATGCAATTAGACTCATCCACAGTGTTAAGTATTTTGATAATGAAGTCTCAGTGCAGAAATAGGTGCCAACCCATGGAGCATTTTCTACTTGATCTCATTCCTTCCTTGCTTCTCAAATGACTTCAGCATTTGTGTTGGTTGGATGGATCTGAACTCTGCTTTTTGACCAGATTCCACAAAGCTTCTGACAACATTTGTTAAATGTAACAGCTTCATTTAAAAAGCAAGCAAAGAAAAATGTGCTTCAGTCAGGGGAACTGCACCAGGAGAAGGCAGGGGATCATTCCCTTTTTCTCCAATGGCTCTTTCACAGAGAGTTATTGGTAGGGATAGGCATGAACCATAAAAATGTGATTTGTGTCAGTTTGTGGTTCATGGCTGAACCACAAACTAAACCACAAACTGAATCGAACTTGAAGTGTCATAACTCAGTCTGTGCTGAGTGATCGCTCAGATTTCTCAGATGAAGAGTTACCCGCTAGCCCTAAGCCAGTAACTGAACAGACAGCTGCAGCTGTCTCTGAGCTAGAAGAAGTACAACAAGAGATCAGGCTACCGGCTGATCAGGAGTCACAGCCTACAACTGAAACTGAGCCAACACCTTGTAGCTCAGAAACAGTAAACAAGTCTTCAGCAGCCTCTCCCAGCCTACCTAGCTCACCCACACCCTTGCAGTGCTGACGCTGTGGCCCATCATCACCTTTCAGTTGAAGAGACAAATGAGTAGTTTCAGGATGACTGCCAATGAATTGGCTAGGAGTTTAGCTTGTTAAGACTTAGCTATAAATTCAGCTGGGAGAAGCAGCAGTTTGTGGACACAAGAAGTACATTTAGCTACCAACCTCAAACTGGACATGACTGGACATGACAGCTGGCTTTTCTGGAGCCCCTGACCTTGGACGGGACTTGCTGTCTAAAACTCCTTGACCCTAGACTGGACTTTGGTAGACGTGCTCTTTGGAACCCCCGACTTTTGGACTGGGCTTTGGTTACTCTTTGCAACCTTGCCTGTGATGTGCCCTGCTGAACCACAGCCTGTGTTTCCTGGGGAAGCTACATCAGTACAAGGAGGGTTGTTCATGAACAGAACCAGTTTGTGGTCCTGCAGTCCCTTTAAATGGGGTTTACAGAAAGCCTGAAAAACAGCTGAGTGTTGGGGAACAGCCTGCTCCCTCTGCTCAGCTGTTTTGGGCTTTTTGTGCAATCCGTTTAAACTTTAAAGGGACTGCACAAGAAAGCCCAAAACAGCTGAGTAGCAGGAAGCAGGCTGCTCCCTACTGCTCAGCTGGTTTTGTGGCTTTCATGGTGAATGCAAAGCAGGGGTTTAAAGGTACTTGGAGTCCCTTTAAACACCTGCTTTCTGCTGTATCCATGAACTGTCACAAACTGCTTTAATAGTTCATGGAAGTTCATGATAGTGGAACTTTGGTTCATGAACCACAAACCGGGCCACGTGGTTTGCTTTAGTTTCATTCCTGTTTTATTGGTCTTAATGGCTGTGCCACTAAGGAGCAGTCCAGTAACTGATTTTTATTTTGTATGTATTTTTTATTTTGTATGTAAAATATTTTGGAAATTTAAGTCGACAAATGATATGAAAAATTATGAATAAATCAATTTTTATCTCAGGCTCCGTACTGTGTAATTCACAATGCGGTCCATTGAGGATGTATAAGTTAAAGACTTAGTGTGTGAGTGGGTCACATATTTGCTTTCCCACATCAGAAACTGCCTGTACATGAAAAGTATGGGGGCACTTTTGGGGGGGATCCAAGTGTGATTTCTTCCAAGCGTTTTGAAATAATATAGAACCACGTGCTTTTTCCTGCACTTTTTAATTGGCTCTTGATATCAGTCCCTCATTTGTAACATGACAATGAATAGTAGCCTCCTTCACAGAGCTATCTTGAGGTAAGGAAATGTGGTAGTCCACCTTTTCTAACATATTGTAGTGAGTAGTGTTTTGCATATTTTCTCCCATCTACTATCTATCCCAGTACATTTTGTAAGTATCCCTTTTGGATTAGATACCTATGGAAATTCTCTGATCATTTTCAGATGCCTCCAGGGGTCTTATACTTGAAGTAGAATTTTATTAAACCAGTTTTTACATAGTTTGCATATGTTTGTTTAAATTTCTACAGGGAAAGCCTGGTGCTCCAGGCCCAGCAGGGATACCTGGAGAACCTGTAAGTGCACCTATATCTGAGGATTTGTTTGTGATACATTCTGGTCATTTTCAGTCATCAGAAAGATTTTATGGTTACCTTTCCTTTTTCCAAGGGTGAAAGGGGCCCTGTCGGAGACATTGGTTTCCCTGGGCCAGAAGGACCAACTGGAATACCAGTAAGTAATTCACGATACAATTAAATGGAAATTTTTCACAATAAATATTTGAATAGGGCCTCGGTCACATGGAGAATTTGCCGGATGAAAGGCATGAATGCTGGGCGGATTTTCGGGGCATGATCACACCACAACATCTGGCAAGCGTAGCGCATCTGTGGCCAACCCGTGGTGTGCCGCCGAAGATGCACAGTTAAAAAGTACCTGTAAAGATCTACTAGCAAATGGTTTGCCACGGGCTGCAGATGGACTCATTTTGTGTGATGGTGCCGGCGCGCGCCTATTCCCTCTGCCCATCCTCTTTGCAGCGCGCACCAAAGGACAAAACCCCGGTGCACCGCTGTCACGTCTAATCGCATAATGGCAGATTGCGTGGCCAAAATAACCCTGTCCCCCCCCCCCCCCCGCGTTTTCTGGCACATGTGGCCAGGGCCTAGGTATTCTTTCTTGCTCCATCACAAAAGAACTTTCAGTGCTGGGTAATCAGTGAATGGGAGGAATATGAGCTGGTAGGTGTTCAGAAGGAATTATTAGAATTGTTGAAAATTCTTTTGATACACAAAACCCAACATGTTTCCCCAAAAAAAACCTGATATGCAATCCTGTGTAGTTTTACTCAGCATAAGATTGTTCTGTTAGTGATATAAAATCACAGGTCTCTTACTAAGTTATAAATGTAAGGTATTTTAAGCTCTGAGGTAATGTTCCCCAGGGATTGTTGGGAAAATGTCTGCTCCATGTTGGGCTTGAATAAGGAAAACTCAGGTTCATCTGTAGCCTCTTTACACATTATGAAGTTGGCAACTTGAGGACTTTGAAGTGGACTTCCACAGAATTTTGTGTCTTCCATAACTATGTGAGCCTTTATTCAACAGTTTTTATATTAAGATAGTAATTGCTTTCAATATCAGAGACCAGAAGCTGGTTTTTTTTAAGAATATGATTTTTTTCCCCAGGGCATAAATGGGAAGGATGGATGGCCTGGTCCTCCGGTAGGAAAGCTATGGTTTATAAGTTTTGATTTACATAAAGCTTGCAGTTCTTTGTTTTAAACAACTGCTTTTGGCCACTGTGGAAGATTAATTCAGATATTCTTTGCACTGGATAACTGATGTTTTCACAATGTCTTCTCTTTTCCAGGGTTTGATGGGAAGACCCGGTGACAGAGGCCCCAAAGGGGAACGGGTAAGTTTATTTTTTATAGAGGGAGTTTGGTTCAAAGGTCATGCAATGCAGTCTGCTTGTCTTAAATGGAAAATACCCATTGACTGAGGTAGATCAAGATTGTACACCAAAGGCACTGTTGAACAGCCATCTTTGGATGCTTGTAGTTTTGTTTCTGGATTGTTTCTTCTGTATTTCCATCTAACTATGTCCCAGGTTATGTTTCCACTCTCATCTTTCCACATACTTCGTCTTGATCTCTTTTTTTTCTTTTTATTTCGCTTCCGTGAGACCCTATATCTTTTTTCTTTGGCTATATGTGATCTTATATCAACGTTTTCTCTTCTACATTTCCACCTGATTATACTCCTAATTGCCTTTTCAGTCCTACTTTTCCATACACCTTGTCTTGATCTCTTTTTCCTTTTCTTCTTATTTTCATTTCTCCCTTCCTTATCAGGCATATTTTCTCTCTCCTTTTTTGTTTGTTCTGTCTCTGTATACGACACACCCCTCCTCTTTATTATTACTTCTATCAATGGGACAGGCTGGGTACTAACAAAGGTCTCTTTATAACAGCCAGCCTGTTGTTCCCCCACATCACAACCGTCCTGCATTAATTCCTCTTCATTTCTCTCTTTTTCTTTGTCCTCTAATGCCACTTGTAAATTTCCAATCACATTCGCACATGCTTGCCTGATGCCTTTTTGGATTTCCTCCCTCAATACTTTCATAAATTGATCCAATGTGAGTTCTCCTACCAAGGTATCATCGTCAAAATCCTCCTTCTCTGACTCAGCTGCCGCCGCCATTTTAGAAATAAAGTTACTCCTACTTAGTCCTCTTTCAAAATTCTTCCAACAATTCCAACAGAAAATGAAGTCCCCCGCTACATAGTTCTCAAACCCCAAGGAGAAAAACAACCATCCATTATGTTTCTTTGCCTCTTTCGCTCTCTGGCCGCTCATACACCTCCATCTTGGGCTTGAAAATCAAGGGGTAACTTGCCAAACCATGTCCAAACCATTAGAAATTAGAAATACGCGTATTTACAAAGTCCTTGCTATATCCCATATTGAATTTCAGTTTCAAAAACGGTAAAAAAGGATGGTCGCAGCTTGTGTAGAGTAAACTCTACTCCATGAAAACGCTCCCGCTTCGGGACAGGAAGCGGTCACCCCGCCCCGCCTTGCCAAGAGCGGCAGGGGCTGCAACTGAGTCCCCTGCATAGTCCTCTCTCCAAGAAGTCCACCGAGGTCTCCGGGGTCCCCCGAAAGAACGTTAATGGATCGGGCATTCTCGGAGCGCCCGAGAAACCGCCCGTCGCCATGCCGTACATACTTCAACAAATCCTGGATCTGAATACCACACCGGTATTGGGATCTGGGATTTTGGGGGGAACCTGAATTGTTTTTTCAGTTCAATATACCTGAACCAAAAAACACCCCTTCAATCCATCTAGCCATCCATCCACATGCACACACATGTGAACTTGCAAAGATGTGGGGGAGCATACATCCCTCTCCCTCACTATTTTCCCCCTCCTCCACTATTTCCTCTTTCCCGTTCTTGAAAGCCCCATAGCTTCTCCCCTTTTCCTGCTTCCTTTTCTCCTTCCTACACAGCAGCCAACCTATTTCCTGCTTTCTCTTCAGCTCCCCTTCAGCAGCATCTACCTAGGAAAAATATAGCCCAGTTGTATGGTTTCAGCTGCTGGGCCAGGCCTAACTGCATGGTAGGGAACCCTCAAGGACTTGGGGACACATCACTTTCCCCTGTATTTCTCTCCCCACCTTATTTCTCCTTTCCCTTCTCCTGGCAACCCCCATATTCTCTCCCCCTTTCCCTGCTTCATTCTCTTGTTTACAGTCATTCACCAACCTATCTCTTCCATATTCAGCTATATTTATTATAGCCAGTTTGGTGTAGTGGTTAGGAGTGCAGACTCTAATCTGAGAGAACTGGGTTTGATTCCCCACTCCTCCACATGCAGCTGCTGGTGTGACCTTGGGTTACAATTCTTTCAGAGCTTGTAATGATTCCTTGTTCTACTCTGTGTGTGTTCCTTTAAATGTTTGGTTGGAGTGCAGTGTTAGTAGAGTAGAATGATTGAAAAAGACAAGTGCATTGTGATTGGAGGATGACTGAGAGTGGGAGGAGTTGTTTGAAGTGAAAGTGTGTGTCTTGAAGGCAGTTCGAGGGAATCTGAGTAGAGAAGTCAGTTAGAAAAATCAGCGTGATTCTGTCAGTGAGTCTGAGAGAGAGTGAGATGACTCAGTTCTGTGTGGATATTTAAATGTCAATATATATGTATTTACAAGTTTAAGTATGGAAGAGATATGAGAAGGGTCTGTGAGACTCTAAAGTAAAGAAAGAGAATTAATACAAAGAGCTTTGCCAGTGTGGCTACTCAGTGAATGAGTGATTCCTGTCAGAGAGGGATCTTATGATCAAAAGACTGTGTGGGATACTTTGCCAGTTTATTTTACCAGTTTCCCTTCCCCATAACAGTTACAGTTAACCAGCAACTCATTTTTGTTCCTAAATCAATAAATCATATTTTGTTTAACCCAGAATTCAGTTCGATCCTTCCTCAGGGTCACATAGACCTTTGAAAGCCCAGACCCTGGGTCACATTACCAACAGCAGCAAAGGAGAGAGGGTTTGGAATTCCTTAAATTCCTGGTGGCAGCAGAAACTACCCAGTTTACAAAAGCAAAGAATACATATAAAGTGAAAACCAGTACTCCCAAATAAGAGGATGCCACAGAGCTGTTTTTTCATGAGCAGTTCTCAAAAGAGCTCTCTCAGCCCCACCTACCTCACAGGGTGTCTATTGTGGGGAGGGGAAGGGAAAGGATATTGGAAGGAGCTCTAAGACTCCTTTAGGTATTGAAGTGCAGGGTATAAATCCAATCTCTTCTTCTACTTCATTTATAACCTGTCTTTTCCCATATTGGGAAACAAAGCAGCTTACACCATTCTTCTCTCCTTTTTATACTCACAACTAGGGATGTGCATTCGGTTCGGATGAACTAAAAAACAAACTGAATAATGCCTATTCGGCATTATTCAGGCCTGCCAAAAGCCGAATCAGATTCCCTAATCTGATTTGGCTGGCCAAACAGGGATTCCCCAAATGGATGCCATATATTCGGCATTCATTCGGGGAATCCCTTTGCTGGGCAAAGAAGGGAAAGTGTTTAAACTTAAAACACTTTGCCTTGCTTCTATGGCTCAGGCTGCCTCAGCAGAGTGACTCCCCAGTCAAAGGAAGGTATTTATACTTCCAGTTTAGGCTCCCTCAATGGTGACCGTGTTCTCCCAGAGCTCCGGGAGATGCGTGCTTTGAATCGGCGAATGGGAGGGGGTGCGATGGTATGCATCCCCCCCTGGAGCCCTTGCGTTGGGCTCCTAGCCATGGGGCACTTGGAGGGGCCTTCCTCCAGCAAATGGCTGGCAAAGGGGGGCCGATCCCGGCCTTGATGGTCCCGCCACACCGGGACAAGTGCTTGGTGGCTGGGCGAGTTGATCACGAAAGGCGAGTTCTACGCTGAAAAGTGAGTGATTATATAAGCAAAGACACCAGAAAGCAAGCTGAAAGCCTCCCCTTAACAAATTGAGGGGGGGAACTCCCCCTCGAAAAGAAAAAAACTGAACTGATAAACGAAGTTATAGGGGGGGGCAGATTGCAAAACTGAATTTGACTATAATAAGGAACTTTTGAGAACTTACCAAGTGTTTTTAAAGGATCTTGAGACTTTGATAACTTGTTCTAATAAGTAAACAACTCTCAAACATGGCACCTCTGAGGAGGGAGGAGAAGGATAAGCAACCGAAAATGAAGTTCCCTGCCAGAACTGCCAGCCCAGCGAGTTCTGTTGCTAGACAGGACACTACCATAGACTTCCAAAGTATGCTGACTGAGGCTTTGTGCCCTCTGCTGGAACAAATGACATCACTCCATAAGACGTTCGATGCATGACTAAGCCAGCTGAATGAAACTACCAAAAAGACAGAAAATGGAGCAAGAGCTTAAAGAAGTGGATGTCAACACCCAGAAGCTTAAAAAACAAATGCAGGTGATGGGGAAAAAGAGTGCAACTGACGAGGCTCAACTTTTACAGCTGCAAATGGAAAAGGCAAGCTATTTCTTAAGATTCCAGGGGGTTCCTGAAGCAAAAGGAGAAGACTTGAAGCAGATTATGTGCGATGTATTGGGTCCAGTTGCAGATTTAAAAGTGGGTTTCCTACAAAGCGAAATAGATACGATCTATAGATCGTACTCTGACTACATAAGAAAGAATAATCTGCCTGGCAAGATTGTGGTGAGATTCTCCAGGAGACAAGTAAGAGACCAAGTATTGAAAGCAACAAATGGAGCCACCCTGAAAATCAAAGACAAAGAAATAAGAGTTTTGAAGGATATTCCATTTGAAGTAAGGAAGAAAAGAAAGAAATACAGAGACTTGGCATTGTTCTTACAGAAAAACAATGTCTCCTACAGATGGAGTGTTCCTGAATATATGCTCTTCAAATTTAAAGATAAGAAAGAAAAAATTGACTCTGTTGTAAAGGCATGCAAATTTCTACATCAATATGTTGGTCCAGCAGGTGAAGAGGATAAAGATGAAGATGGCAGCAGCAAGGGAAGTGAAGAAGAAGGAATACTGGCACCTTCTGATGAGGACTCCGTTTCTGAACTGTGGGCTGCTGCCCCTAAAGTAAGCTATCGATTGAGAAACAAAAAGGACAAAAATGAGTTGTTATTGTTCTCTAGATTCTGTTTTAAATGATTTTAAATCATTTCTCTATAGAGATCTTTATATAGTCAGATTTGTTGGAGATTCTGGTACAAGCAATAAGAATTGTGTACTCAATGTAGCAAAGTATAAGTTTATTGATTTAGAAGCTAATTTTGTAAGTGTTGTGAATGACCACCATTTCTTGGGTTTTTAGTGATTTTTCTTTACTTTCACCTGTAGTTTGTAGTTATGTCTCGTTACCATTTTGATCAAACA